AGGGTATCTCCTGATTTCAGACCGGCTGCGCTGGCTGTCTGGCAATCATCCAAGATACGCCCTTTGGAATCGATTAGGACCCCCATGCCAGTCCGCAGCATGCTCTGCATCTCAAGCTTGACACGCTTAAGCGGGCGATCCATGATGACTGGGACCTGCGCCGCCCTTCCACTCATCAGGACCACGTTGATATAATCGGACGCCATGGCATCAATGGCAGATAGGAATCGAGTTGGGGTTGCAGAACTCGTGCTGGTTAAGGATTTTTTTGCTTACCCAACACCCGTCCTAAACTGGCTAATACCAATATCCCAAGTACCTGAGTATTGGGTCCGTTGCGGCTTAGGGCTTTCCACTCCGAACTGCTCGAACCCCTCATGCCTTGCGAGGTAGGATTTAGGGTTTAGAGGTTTAGGGTTTTGGGTCTTGGGGTTAAGGGCTTAAATGTTTTGGATTTTACGGTTTAGGGTTTTGGGGTTTAGGGTTTAAGGCTTTGGGGGTTTTAGGGTTTAGGGTGAGTCTACGTTGAGGATTCAACATGCGGATCTTTCTTGGTTTGTTCGCAAGAACTTCTCGACAGTTCCTGTAGTTCTCGATCCTTGAAATTTGGATCCCAGCTTAGGAACCCTTAGGGTTTAGGATTTAGGGTTTACGGGTTATAGGGATAATGGGAAAGAAAATGGAAACTACTAAAGTGTATTGGGTAATATTGGGATAACGGAAAACAAAATGGAAGCTACTACTTGGGGTTTAGGGTTTAGTCCGTTCTTATCGTTGTTTCTTTGCAAGGCCTCTTTTCATCGCAAGCAAGAAGCCGAGTTGGTTTATCATGTAGGGCGTAGTGAGAAGATCTGGGCTTCGCGGTCTGAAGTTTAGGGTGTCCCTAAACCCTAAACCCTAGGGTTTAGGGATAAGGTGAAGTTTAGGATTAGGGTTTAGGGTTTCAGGCTTTCAGGTTTAGGGTCCCGCTTCTGGGGGCCAAGAGCCTCAGGGTAGGGCGAAGACTTTGCTGATTGCTGATTTGTAAGGACTCCAGAAATGGAATATAGCCGTATTCTGAGGAATAAATTCTATAACCTGAATACACGGGTACCTGACTGACCTTAGGGCAGCCCTTTCAAGTTCTTGAGCCTAGAAACCGCCAGAAAACAAGTCATCTGGCCGTTTGGTAGAGTGCATACCTGGACACAGAAAGTAAATTACATGATGGCCCCACACGAGCGAAACAAGCCAGGTTGACTCTTATTCAACTTACTTTTGGGTTCAGGTTGACCCTGGGTTTTGAACTTTACCGAACTCCCCTATCAATCCTTTACCCTAAGGGTCCAAGGACCCAAATAATAGGGTTTTAGGGCCCAAATACTATAATATTAATGGTATTTGGGCCCTAAAACCCTATTATTTGGGTCCTTGGACCCTTAGGGAAAGGGTGCTAAACCCTATATAATTCCTATATACCCCTATATAACCCCCTTTAAAGGTACCAAAGGGTACCCCTAATTAGGGAGCGGGTCTTTTTTTGCGTGAACAGATCGATTGACCTCTTGCTCTCGTGTCTGACCGTCACGGTCTGATGCCCGGCTCTGAATGGGGATTTCCCAAAATTAGGGGGACCTTTTCTGGGGTCCCCATAATAAGGACTATAGTAGTTTGGGGTCTATATTGGACCCTTATTTTGGGAAACTACCAAATTTCCTCGCACCACCATCTCAGCACTCTCAATACATTTGCTGGTTCCGCCTTGGGCTAGTATGGTCCCCTTGTGCCATATCATCCTCATGATGGCGATCATCCAAGAGGACCCCTGATTTTGAAAAAAAACTCATAGACGGTGGCGGTCTCGCAGGGGAAATTTAACGTCGTAACCCTGAAGCCTAGACCGCGCAAGCCTGCGTATACCCTCTTGGATTACAAACATGTACTGACCACAGAGCCATTGATGTGGTGCATTCCCATTCGCTTCTGGGGATATCTGCGGGGCATGCGCTTAGTGTTAGTTGGTGGTTCCAACAAGATATGATTATGTTCCCTTTCCAAAAAACCACAAGTAAAACTAAAGGGATAGCGTAATCAATTTGATGCAGGCGAGAGTAATATTCCAGCTTAAAACATTCAACAAGACTTAGCAATCCCCTCTCCTAGGGATTATTAAGCAGACCACCCAAACCGAAATATGAAAAGTGGCCTAAATCCCTTATGCTAGGCCCTGAGCCCCAGACATGTGCAATTTTAGGGTAGACTCTGCACCAAGTGGGCCGGTGCAAGACGATGGCACGAGAAAGAACTTGACACCACGTCGTGCGTCACTTGTCTGAAACCTCCAGCAGACGAACAACTCTGCACCCCAGATTATGTGAGGCGGAGAGTTTAGAGTGCAAGAATATTACAAGAAGTGGCCCCCTCATAATTTTCAACCGAACCACGCATCCAGGGGTCCCAATGCCCCTTGCGTAAGCATTATACCTTAAATCATTCAGGATCCTAGTATCACTTACAGAATTATTCCTGAATTAGTGGTTATTGGGCTCTCTCGGCATCAGTACAATCCCCATTCATGTTTCCATTATTCCAAGTATATCGGCCCCGAAATCCTAATACACCCCACATATCCCCTATGACCCCTTCAAAGGAGCACACTCAACTCTACACGCTACATTTCCCATATAAACCCATCATTGAGCACTAAAGCTGTATTCAGACTCAATCTTGTCTTCAAGCCTACTGTACGGGCCTAAGTACTTGTTAATGGTTGGAATGTGTGGCTTAGGGATACTATCCCAAGATCGCAGAGGCAAACGGAAAATAATATGAACATCAAATAGCATGGATTACACGCAGCAGGCTGATTGTAAACTAAATGTACCATACCTACCACTATCATGGTCCAAGGATTCTTATGAGCTTCTCGTTAAAGCCTAGACCTTTAAATCCTACCACAAATATACCTCACATATGTACTATTGGTACAGGGTACGTCAGACAAACCTCAAATACATACTTCTGGTATAGGGCACCTTCAAAATTTTTTTGCTCATTATTCCTGTAGTCTCCTTAGACCTGTAATAAACAATACTCTGAATAATTCCTTGGATTATATATCATAAAAAATGGAAAATAATAATTCCTAAAGAGACTACAGATTCATGATTCTACATTCTGAGCAGCTGTTGCTATTGCCAGGAACCCTACTTGGAAGCCACTCCTTGCATAGGTGTCAATGTATGTGAATATATGGGGTTCTCAGAACGCAGGCCCCAGGGACGGCAAAGGAATTTGTGAGCTACTGTCAATTTTTCCTATAGAAGTAATGTAAAAGAAGATATGACATGAACACTGGGAGTGTATAGGGGTTATAGGCCTTCAGATTTCCTACATGGACCTTGGTTCCCATTGGGGACTGTACGCAACTACCAGAGGGACCCTGTGTCCACCCGTAATGGCCCCTTGGTAACCCTAATACTGACAGTCGCACATGTGGGGATTACGACGGGACGTTTTGTCCCCTTCATGATTGCTTTGGGGCTGTTTTGTGAGACTCCCATATCTGCAGCTGAATGCAGCATTCCAATCAACAGAGGTTCTGAATCTTGAGCAATGGCGCGACGTCTGTCAAAGAAGTAATAGGCTTCTTTACATTGTGAAAATTCATTCCTAGCATTAGTGCGAATAGCTTGTCCAATTCAAGCTGATATGACGATTGTTTGCTCTGCCAAAAGGCACTACATCTTCTGATTGCAAAATCCTGAACCCTAAGACCTTTAACCCTAAACCTTCATGGCAAGTTGAGGCCCATCAAGCCGTCAAACCCGCGGCCAACACCCGAAAAGTTCTGCATACCAGGACGCCCCAGGATGCTCAAGTAGGGTTTGTTGAGTCCTACTTGCGGCTACTTGGTCTGTATGGAGGATATTCGGGGAGGGGTTAGGTGCGGTCCTTCTTTTCGGGTTCCAGATGTGGGGCTCTATCCGGGTCTGCAACAGGCTTTTGGAGCCCGCCCCCCTCCCAATACATTTCCAGCTGGTTTTATGTATTGGCCACCCCCCCGATCGGGGGGATGCCAGGCCTGGTCAATACATTTGCATGATTTTACATGCGGCTGCCATGTTAGCTATACACGCTGCTCCACAATGATGACGCCTCACCCTTTTTTGGACATGTCAGTCGAGCTTGCAAATGCCTCCGCAACGTCTGGGCATGGGGCAACTCTGGTCCCAAACACTTGCAGCGTTCAAGTCTAGAGCCTCTCTGTACAAAGAAGTAGCTCGAGCCCCTAGGCAGTGGCTAATTAAGATTGGAATTAGTGGGGTAGACAGGATGTGTATCCCACGGTGCGTACAAGCTGTCTGTGCTCGAAACAACCCGGGGGTTCATCACCCCAATGGCTCAGCACGGAAAAATTCGCGAAGGCTGCAGCAAATACATTTCAACGCCTTTCCGCCCGCAAAAGGCAACCCAATTCCCAACTGCAGCTCGCTGTCCTTCTAAGGAGCAACTGTACACTTTGGCAGAAACAACCTGGTCTAGAGCTGTACTCTCCACTAGAAAGTTGGGCAGAGGCACTGTGGATGGTCGCTATGTTTCTTTTTGGATCGTGTTCAAGATTAACTAAATCAGGAAGCATGCTCGCCTACGAGGCTACCACAGCAGTAGGCAGAGCAGGCAGAGTGCCCGTGTCCACATCCCGGAGCCAGGCAACGAATGCTTTTGCATTCCCCGCTGGGGTGATTTCATGAAACACCTTCCAGATGTAATTAGAAATGTCGGCTCCAGTGACCTTTGCATGCTTGGTCTTGTTCGTGAACCACTCCGGCGCACGCGCGACGATTTCATTCGAGGTGGGCCTCAGGCATAGATTTCCAAGGCATTTTGAAAAATGGCCCGGGAAGCTTATACTCCTTCTGCTATTTAGAAGGTTCCCGGGCTGTTTTTTTTGGGGGGGGATGATTTGGCTCGTTAGGCGAACTCAGAAATTCTCGCTCTGCATCCTTCCGGGCCCCCACCAAATGCAGGCCAGGGTCGCTCTTCCTTTGTTCTTTTTCAAGGGAAGAATCTCTCCGTTCTTGTCCAGCAGCTGCTCCTTCGTCTGCTGCTGGTAGAGGTGCTTCATCACGTGCATGTAGCGAGTCATCTTCTCGATGCCTGCCTTCGCGAGTCCAAACGAGCTGCTTGTGAATGCCTCCTTGCACCACTCTTCCAACTTGCTGTCGGCAGTGGGGCTGGGCATTAACCCAACACCTGTCAGACCAGTCATGGCTGAGTACGCCGCCCTGCTTATGCGCACGACCATGGCATCGCCCGTGGCTCTGCAAAGGTACTCTGTCTCTGGGATCTGATACAGAATCAAGCCAAGCTCGTCGTGTGGATCCAAGGTGAGGGCCGGGCTCAAGGAGGTTGCCCAGAAAGGCGCAGTTGCACTTGCTTGCGATTCCTCTGCGTTGCATGGCTGCAGAAGCACAACCTGGACGTAGGCTGTATGCTTAGCCTCCAGCCTTCCTTCGAAGGGCTTGATGCGAGTTGACTTAATTCTTCTTGTTGGACAAGCTGGCACGGTAGACTTGCATGCACAAGCCCAGCGTTACACGGCCACACGGGTTCCGCCGCACGGTCAGCAGCTGGTATACCGCCTCTCGCCTTGGTCGTTGGTCACGTGCGCTGGCTGAAACCAGCAAATCGGCTGCGCCACCTCTGCTGTCTGTGCATCGCCGTGGCTTTGCTGAACAATGGATGTCGCATTTTCCGCAACAAGTTTGGAGAAAGAGGTCCAAGCCGTCGCCCTGCTCTGCCGATTGGCCACCAAGCCGAACGACTGCTGCGCCTTGGACAACGCCTGCAGCATCTTGGCATGCTCCGTCAAGGGTTTTGCTCCCTGGCACACCTGATTAGCAGACAGGATGCCTTCCTCCACACGCACGCGAGCAACCAACTCACGGATGCTGCCAGCCATGGATCTGACGCGGCGGCATGCTGCCAGCTCTGTGAAGTGCTGGAGGCTGTGATGCCGCAGAATATCTTCCAGAGTGCAGGGACCTGTCTCGCTGGGCTCGGTCATGGGCAGCTTGGTACTGGAAGCTTCTGCTGGCGCTTGCTGCAACATGGAAGCCTCCAGCTCCAAAATCTCACTGCGTTGTTTGACCTCTTCTCGGAGCAGCGAAAGGCACTGCACGTCCCCCTCCTGGGTGCCAGGCGCCGGGGGCACCGCCTGGCAGTCTTCGCAGTCGGAGGCCTCCACGTCCTCCTCTTCCACTATGTCATCCAGGACGTCAATCTTGGCTGCACACACTAAAAGGTGACTTGACTTTTATGACTTCTGGTTCGTTTGCTATGGATAGGGTGAATCCACCAAGCAACGACTGGGAAGTTGTTGAAGATGACGCGCTCGCCGCTGCTTTGCAACCAGGTTGCGAAGTCTCCTCGCAGCTCGGAAACGCTGACACCCACTGAACACGCAGCCTCGAAAGCCAGCGCGCTCTGCAGAGCGCCCTCGGCTGTCTCCCGGATCTTCTCGGCGCTTGGGGCGCAGAATTTTCGCACTTTGTGCGGCGGCACGCCCCGGCGCCTCTGCAACAGATGTTGCCTCTGCGTGCTCAAAGTCACAGTCTTCAGTGACGGTGAGCCCTGGGACATGCGCTTTGTCCGTCCGAAGTGCATCTCTATGCTGTCCTCCATGCTTCTGCTGGGCATGAAGATTTGCTGATCAACAGGCTGGTCGGTGATGCGTTGCACCATGTGCGCGGCATTCAGGAGTAGGTTCCGGCTTGTACACTGTGCCATGAAGCGCCTTGTCCACGCTGCCCCAGCCTCTTGCTGCGCCTTCATGCAGTCGAAGCATACCAAGAAGAAACCTGCCATAGTATTCATTTTGAAAAATGGCCCGGGAAGCTGCTCATGCGCTCCATAGCTTGCTGCATTGGAAGCATACTGGCCACCGTGTGGGTCCCCTTGCACAGATAGCTCCGCATCTCATGGAAACCTTCTGCCAGGAACAGCATACCCTCCGGATGCGTCAGCGCGTGCTGGATCTCATCCACTCTCCAGAACCTTGAGCCGTCCAAGAGCTCGCCCAGCGCGACATTCGCGCACTCGTTGAAGGCCTTGGCCATGCGGCTGCCTTCCAGGAGTACGTCCCAGAGCTTTGGATTTGGCTCAGGGTCAGCCATCCAAGACGAGATAAAACCAGGCCTTGCGTGCTCTTGAAACACACGAGACAACTCCAGCGCATGGAACGCGCAGGCCACGCTGTGGTCACCGCCGCGGAGCGCCAGTGTCGGATTGTACTGGTTGATGGCATGGACACGCACCAGCGGCAAAGTCTCCTGCCGCAGCCCACGACAGAGCTGACAAGCACAGGCCAGCTGCCACCCGCGAGCCTGAGTCGCGGCAGCCGCTCCCTCCACAGCACAGTCGCCGCCCTGGGCAAACACACAGGTGGCTTTGTACTTGCTGAAATCAGGCCGGCCTGTTCTTGCTCTGTGTTCTGCAGAGAGACCGCCCCTGCGGGCTCGCCTGTCAAGACTTGAGCACCAATACCTCGCGTTTGCTACGTTGCTGAGCGTGTGCTGTTCTTTTCACAGCCAGGCGGTGCCCTGCAGTGTCCCTGGAGCCGGCTCACGCAGCCACGCACCTTCACGTGGAAAGCAGAGTAAAAGACTGAGTCTTGGAAAATGGCCCGGGAAGCTTCATGGGCGCCTGATCCTGGAGTGGTTCCTGGGCCATTTCTGTTCTGGGTGAGGTTTTTGGGCCATTTCTTTTCTGGGGCAGGGTGGCATCAGGTTCCACACGAAAACTACAGGCCTCCGACACGGGCTTGTGGCTCCGTGTCCTAGCGCGGAGTTCTCAGCACCTGCCACAAACAAAAAGGAAAGGTTCCGGGACTTTTTTTTTATGGGGTGTGACTGTGCACTACAAAACAGCCTTAGGAGCGCCTGAGACAGGATCCGTTGCCTAGCACCAGCAGCGCTTCTTATGAGTAGAGACAGGTCTACCGGCAAATAAAACATGGGATGCAGTGGATTGGTTGTAAATAGGGGCAGACTGGGCTACGGCTAAGGTATAGTAGACACTCTGACTCCCAAGTATAATCTACAATCTGGCCACTACATCCCAAGGCCCTGCAAGTAGGCGCTAACCTGTAGGCCCCCAGCATCAGCCATCACGATGTCGGCACCTGCCACAAACAGACACAACGCTGCCACTGTCTTCTGCTTCAAACGCCCTTGCGGATCCGTTGCCTAGTACGAGAGGGTCCTTTAGAATGGAGACAGGTCTTCCTGGAAAAAAGAACATGGGATGCAGCCTAGGCCGAGGTACACGAGGCACTCTGACTCCCAGCTATTATTTCCAATCTACCCACTACATCCCAAGGCCCTGCAAGTAGGCGCTGACCTGTAGGCCCCCAGCATCAGCCATCACGACGTCGGCACCTGCCACAAACAGACACAACGCTCTCACTGTCTTCTGCTTCCAATGCGGAGCCTGCAACAGAGGCGATCTCAGCACCTGCCACACAGGGTGGTTACTCAGGCAGCAAAAAATGGCCCGGGAAGCTTAACGGGCACCTGCACCTCAGAAGGTTCCCGGGCTGTTTTTTCTTGGGGTCCAGCGGGCCAGTGGCCCAGTCATGTCTGGTTCAGCCTGAGCGGTAGGAAGTCTTCGCGCAAAACCATGGCACATTATTGTTCGGTTAACCTGTAATATTTAATTTAGTAGTTCCCTATAACCTGTATGCCACGCCCAGGAGACAAAGCAAGTCCCTGAAGCCGGGGCACCCAGCTTGGAGCAGCCACGGGGTTTAGGCCTGGCATCGAACAACTAAGCCTAAACTGCAGGCAGTCCCACGGCGCAGGAGACAGAGCACGCACGCACAGACACACACACACACAGACACAGACACACACACACACACACACACACACGCACGAACACTTTTCCATAGCGCACTGCATGCCTACTCTGGCCTCCTTGGGTAGCCTCCACCTCGAAAGAGGAACGTCAGGATGCGAGAGATTTCGCAGAGTGTGAACTCATGCTCGCGTGAGCCAGCTGTCAGCAAGGACTTCCCTGCCGCTTCAAGTTCTGCACACGCTGCATCTCCTGCTTGACCAGGCGGTTCAGAAGCTTACCGAGTGCCTCCATCTCTTCAAAGTTCATCACCGCGTCTGCGAGGCCCCCAGCGGCAGTTCGGAATGTCCGAAGATGACCTTTCAGCAAGCTGCGCCCTCGTAGTGCACCCGGCCCCATCATGCAACCGGGCTGCTGCAGCCATGCATGCTGGCGCTGCAGGGTCTCAATCAAGTGCCGCTCCAGCAAGGCGAACCCATTTCTCCCCAGAAAGGGAGAGAGCTTGGCAAAGTGCAAGGCAAGGGCCAATCTCTGCACACGTGCCACCTGAATGGTCTGCTTGCCATAGAGCTTGCGCACTTTCCTGAGCCTCACACTGGCCAGCTGCCTCTTTGCCGGGCCACCAAGGTTGTAACTTCGGCGATCGTACGCGGGAGTGAAGATCTCGGAGTCAGCACATGCAGCCAGCACGCTTGCCACACACTGCCGCAGGCAGCGCGCGCCTCTTCTTCTCCACACGTCCATCTGCTCCTTAGCTGCAGAATCTATCCGGTCCCTGATCTCAAGTGCGCACACAGAACGCTGCACAGACAAGGCACGCAAGTCCTCCAGCAGCCGCTGCTGAAAGCCTGCACCATTCAGAGCAGCCAGTGTTGCTGCCGCCTCGATACAAACCTGGCAAGGGACTACAATTTCCCTATATGCCTCTCCGAGCCTCGATTCAAGACAACATGGCATGGATGGCATGCTCAGCGAGCCTTGTGGCTCAGCAGACTCATGATGGCCATCGCCCGCCGGGTCCCCGTCAAAGCGCTCGTCGCAGAGTTGCATCATGCAGAGCACTGTCGCTGACGGCGTGGAGCCTAACATCAGCACCCATAGCTCAGGGTAAGCAGACAGCAGAATACATGTCTGACCAAGGGACGGGTTTCCGGCGCAGAGACGGTCCCATCCGGCTGTAGCGTCTCAAAGCGGGCGCGAAGCGCTTGCAGCGGCAGCGAAGCGTAGAACTTCTTCTGCCCGGCCCGTTCTGGGAAAGCCTGCCTCAGCGCAGTGCGTTGCAAATACAGAGTTGACAGGCTAAGTTTGCTAACACATCACAGAGGAGCTGGCAGCGAGCATGCACGGCGGGCGATGATGACTCCACCGAGGCCTTCGATGTCTTTGCATCGAAACTCCATCTCACCCCATGTCTGCACTACATCCCTCCTGCAAGTTCTGCTGCATGGTCGGGTCTCTAGCACAGAGTCTTCTTCTGCTGCGGTCACAAGGCCCTAGCCCGGAGGCCCTGAACCCCGAAAAAGGCTACGGAGGAGGTTGTTGGGCGCACTACCCGCTCAGGTTCGTGCTCCAATTGCCTGAAGAAGGTCTTCGAAGAGAACCATGGGACGTGGCAGATTATTGCACTAGCTATGGGTCAGAGATAAAAACAAGCGTCAGTTGAATATCTCCAGCCCCGCATACACGTTATAACCCAAAGGGCTCAGAGGTTACATCCCAAGGTCCAGCAAGCAGGAACTCGCCTAGGCGCACAGCCTAGCTCAGCCACGCAAGGCCAACCCCAAAAGCTTGCCACATGGCCCGGCCATGGGGCTGTGACTCATAAAATGGCCTCGGAAGCTTAGTGGGCGCCTGAAGCTGCAGAGGCTCCTGGGCTGTTTTTCCCGTCCAATGTTTCACACGACCTGAAGCTGAGACTCCGGCCCACGGGTCGCTAGGGACCTGAGCGCTGAGATACAGTCACTGCCAAACGGAAAAGCATGCGATTGTCATTTCTCTCGCAGCACTCTTTCCGGGGCACTGCCTGGCACTCCTCCACAGCTACCCAAGCCGTGGCACCTTGCGCCGCTTTGAGATAATGGGCTCTAAGGAAAGTGAGGCACATATGCGCTTACACTCAGCTCTCGCATCGCGCTCACGGTCAAAGTACCCCGAGAACGCTCGCTTGCGGGTCCCGGGCTTCCGTATCTCAACAAAAAATTGCTGTCGAGCCTTGAGGCTGCCGCGTGCACGGCCGCTGCAGTTGCCTTCAGAGACAGGCTGATCGAGGAGAAGAAGATTACGGCCAAGACTATGTCCTCTCTACTGGAAAAGTGGCGCGGCGTCATGTTCCACTGGGTAAGAGGAAAGGAAGAACTTGCGCACCTTGCGGACCTTGGCCTCATGCCACGTCACTCGCCAGCAGCTCTTCGACGCATCCCAGCTAAC